TTAATTTTCTTTATAAGTACTTGTTGCTCGGAATTACTATTTGTTATTCTGGATGTTCCAATAAGTGTATTTTGCGTCATCAATGACGAACGGATCGACACCAAAAGTGGAGATCCACCTGTATACAATCTATAGATTGGAATTACTGCATATTCATACAGCCAGGGTAGGGTGTATGTTAATGTCTCACTACAAAATTACTTTTTGAAACGTCTGTAACTCATTATTAATGCATTTTTAGTTCCGGTGGATGAACAGAGCGCAGTCGATGGCCGAAGAACAAAGATATGTAATAACCATTGCTAATTTTGTAATATTTATTTACGGTCATGTGCCAAACTAAATAATTTCCTACATGTTTCCGTTCATCTTATACGAGGGTACTACAAGATTGATTCTAGTCCACATAAATAGCACGCGAGCACTTTCATGAACAATTGGTACTCACGATCTCGGACAGTAGCTTTCTATGCAAAATGGATGACACATAAAGCCAATGGTTAGATACTTTTATTAAATTCCAAAGGGATCAAATAGGAATGGGTGCGCACAATGCTGAGGTTTATCTCACGCAATGATGCGTGGGAATATTATTTGTCATAACATATTACGAACATGTACGTATCTGTTGCGTAGGCATCTCAGCAGAAAATTTTTTCTAAATGCATCAATTAGTATATTGGTGATAACTTAAAATTTCCAGGACCTCATATGTTCAGTTGCTTGTTAAGTTCCTCTCGTAGTTTTATTTCGAAATCATGAAAGGAAGATGAATTGATTCGCCCACTAGGATGTATTGTTCTCCTCGTGAGTTCCTTCTGGAGATCAGCTGTCGATGATGTTCATCGCCGTAACTGAGTTCCGCATGATAGGTCTGAGCACATCCCACATATTTTCTACACCACCTGCTCTTTACTGTCTGCAGAAACCAAATGTTTTGTAATTTCCTAGACCATGCATAACGAATAACTGAAACAGAGAAATCCTTTGAGAAATCTTTATTTCTGTCGTGGGAACAGTGCATATAAATTCCAGTACATCACAAAACAAAGCAGTTTACTGACGCACTCTGAAGAATGTTACGTCCATCCAGTTTGAGAGATTGAAGACAGAGCTTGATAGGCTACTCCTCATTTGACAAAATGTGCAAATGAATGTGACCAATTAATATTTTAGATTGGGTTTATTCTGATCTCTGCGACTAGCTGCATCAGCGAGGTGTGCATGTCTCCTAAAATCACGCAAGCATATGGTGTTTGCTGATCACTACAGTACTTAGTAATTACGTTATTCAAATCAATTAACACCAGTTTTCGACTGTCAAATTCTTCAGACGCCATACAATACACAAAAATTGCAGTCAGATAGTTGCTCAAATCGAGCAGAATAATATACAAACGGACTTATGCTTTTATCACTTTTCTCGAAACAATTTCAAAAGAAAACACAGGTTACAAATATCCACTCCATAGTTTTTATGAATATCTTGAAAGAAGTTGAGCGCCGAGTCAGGTTTAATCATTATATAATCACAGCGTATTCAGAAAATCAAGACGGAAGTTTTCGAAAGACGCTGGGTTTATATTAAAACTTATACGCTGAGGAGAGCAGATTTTTCACTGTCAATACTCTACTGACTAAGTGACCTACAAGTACGTCGGTACCTTACGTTGTATGGCCTCTATCAAATACGATAATATCGCTGAAGAGGCTGGTATGTTCTTTTAGATCATCCCAATCTAGGACGGGGAGAGAATTCTTGTGAATAAACATAAAAGAACCAGTTTGGCTAACACCATTCATATGAGCTTTGGGTTCATAGTTATCCGACGACAAACTGGAGCTCGTGTTCAACAAACTCGAGAAAATCAGACAGGCTTCAGACCTGGAGGAGAGTGGATCGACCATATTCTCACCACCCGATAGGTTCTGGCACATATGTATACCTACGATGACCGACATTTGCCATGTTTCTTGACATGAAGGAAGCATTCGACCCTGTTGATCGTGAGGTGTTGTGGGAGTGTCTGACTGTAAGAGGAGCAAGCATGTGACGCCAGTCAAAGCTCTCTGCTGGAACTCACGCAACTGTATGGGATTATGAAGGGTTGTCCTCAGACTTGACGACAACGAGTAGTGTCGGTCAATGAAGTGTCACCGTTCGTGTTCACTTTGTTTCAGGTGTAATAATAAACATAGCCCCAGGTACATCTGACTTCATACAAAACGACCTACTCACTGGAAGTGTGTTTGGCCCGGATTACTCAAACGACATTGTGCCGCTAGGTGTGAACGCTGACAAGATGCTGGGTTTTCTGAAGTCTGATTATGTTTGGCATGCGTCTCACTGTCAAATGTAAGATGATGCTGAACGCCTGGTCTGCTGCGACCACTCCTAGTTTAGGGACTCGGAATGAATTAGCTGGTGTATCAGCCACTTCACTTACCTGGAAATTCGCATCAGCCTGAACGGAATAGTTGCTGACGAAATCTCAGCTCGGAGACAGAGAGCTCGTTTGACATTTGCCAACTCGCGTCATATGGTGCCAAAGGCGAGATATCCGACCGTCTATCAAAGGACGAATATACTACACTGTATCCCGTTCCGTCCTATTGTACAACTGTGAAACATGGCCGTTGAGAGCAAGAAACATGAAAGAACCACAGGGTTTTCGTCGGTCTTTTCGTAGCATTGCCCGCGACTGGTGGAATAACCATCGTAACAATATCGAGGTCAGGGAGCGACTACTAGCCAAGCCAACTGATGAGGTTGTGAGTCTTAGTCGACTGAGATGGTTTGCGCATGCTAAGTCTTTGCCTACCTCGATGTGAAATGTTGGACTAGGTCGAAAGAGGGTTCAGCGTGGCCAGAGTAAGACGGTGCATGAGTGCAGAAAACCTTTGACTGTATGGATGTGCACGCTATCTTGGTTGGGAGTCTTCAAAATGGAAGGAATCAACGATTTAAGATTCTTATCAATATGGCTGAAAATCGATCACAATGGCTCAGATATATTCACCCTTTGACATTTCATAAGGCCTAAATTTCTTCGATAGCCTTTATCCCGAAATATTTTCTCCCGTAAATCTTTTTGTAGTTCGATATCACTCTTTTTCTACCTAGATGTTCATCGCATGATGCTGTTAAGCGATGATACTTGGACCCATGAACTTCAGTTCGATGTCTTACTTCAAAATATATCCACTTGCACAGACAGTTACGCTCAACTATAGGAGCTATTTGATTTTAAGTGATCCTAGATGTGCTTTCTGAGCTCCAGCTCTTGTGGTTGTTTTTATTTTTAGGTTTTGCTCATCTATCAGGAATTCTCCCTGTTGACCGAATAAAAACCAGGGGACTTGGGAACATCTTAAGCTACGTTGACTTCTTCTTCTTCTTCTACCAGAATTCTTGGCAAAGTGTTTGAATTATTTATTTGCAACAACCTGAAATCTGCATGGAAATAACTTGTATTAAATAAATACCTCGCTCTCTGTATCGTATATTTGGTAAGATCAAGACTGGAGTTTGTGCAATGCCCACTCCAAAATCAGTCCTGATACCTATAATCTATTCACTTGGTAGATGTTTGGAGTCTTTGCCACTCTGATTATGACTGGAAGAATATCTGAAACCGGTAGGTTAACACAAAATGTTAACATGCAAGTTGTCGAGTTTAGGATATCAGCGTAGTGGGAAAATATGACTGACTCTTAAGTGAGAAGTAAAACAAAGGCAAATATTCTCCTGCAATGTTGGGGTATATTAATGCACTAGAGGATACGGTCTCACCTCAAAGAATACTGCAAATGTGTACAATAGCTCCGCTTTCCAATGCTTAGATAATAATAGTATTCTTAGCATTGTAGATTCCACATTTTGGCACCGTCTTACAGAAAAATACTGAGCTAAAGTCATTTAATACGCCAAAGAGATCAGACGTAGATCCTTAGGATTTGGCTTGAACGCGTGGTCTTTTAAGAAGAACACTGCAGTACATCACAGAGAAGACATCGATTTAAAAAATGCATACTATTTGTTTAAGTGCAGTCGAGAACACAGAGATAAGTTGACTGAATAATCTGAGTGCTAAGACCATGTTAATGTTTACGCAAGAACTACAACTACCTGACTGAATATATCTTGATAAAATTATCTAATAAGATTTGAACAAAGTAATAGAGTTGAAGAGCAGCAGACGTACATGGGGCAGCATCCTTCTAGAGCAAGACGTTCTCTTGATCAAAGCAGTTAGACAGTGAAGAATAGGGAGTCATCTATTCAATATTAATATGTAATAAGTTACTGAACTGGAGCAATTTCTTCTCCATCTAACGAAAAGCCTGACAGCGACTTTCATACTAACACTGCTGTGGATGCTCTCCACAAAACTGAATATTTCATGTTCGACTTTTATAAATTTACCTTATAGAAGAGTTGAATTAACTTTGTCACACCTTTTTCCAACCCACATATATTGCCAAATTTCACCTATTGGGTTATCCTTCACTTATAATACACTAGTTTGCTTGTTCGCCCAAAAGACTCATACTGCACATGATCGCAAGAGTTGCGCCCATAGACTCACTCTTTCTGACTGAAGTAAACTCTTTTCGATTTAATACCGTTTTTATGTCACCTGGACGATTTGCATGGTGTCTTTGATCCAGTAACTAGATTGCGTGTCCCTAGTTAACCGTATCAGAGAATTTCAAGTGGTGAGTAGTTTGTTTGGTAATGAATTTCAAGAAATTCGATCGACTCCTTGATCAGCAAATAAAAACTTTCGAGCTGCAGTGTAACGCAAAAAATACTGCTGGGTTGCCAAACGTAACTTTCAGTATAACTGCTACCTCTCCATCACAATCTGACTATTGCCTCAGGTTAGCAAATAAGTCTAAATGACTGTCTTTTGTTGCCTACCACGAGAACCATTTCCGTCTCTTTCGCTTTCACTTACCATCACTGCCAATGGTCATTATTTATAACAAGGTGAATGTAATAATTACAAACTCTATTTCGACATGTAGAAAGATAGAGATATATGACTTTAGCTACACATCATAGAGTTACTGCAATTTTATCGAAGAATTTATTTTGTGGCGAGAAAAATATGAACACTGCGATGAATGCCAATAACCTTATAACAATAAAGCAGCAGTTTTCTTCACGCAAAGGTGGAACACCACTGTGTTCAGGAAGTGCACTCAGTTTTCAGAATTAATACAGTGAAAATGTCTGAACACTAAGGTGACAAATTACAGTTAATCAATCATTAAATTCTGAATAAAGTTATTTTTTAAAACGGTAACTAGTATTGATCATAGTGAAGCTGCCGTCAGTTATTGTGTAAGGGATGGATAAGAGGGAGGTGATTTCAACATTTCGAAAGCGACAAAGTTTAGTTTATCATCTGCTACGTAGTCAAAGTAACCACCAACTTGAATGGCTTAGCACAAGAAATGAGGTGTAAATTATTATGCATCTCTAATCTGTATTTGTAGTAGCAGATTCAGGTAAAAAGCCTCTATGTACAATGAAATACAGTAGTATGGAAACAGATTTTCAATGATAATTTTCTTAATGGTAATCTAGAACCATTGTAAAATAGGTTTTTTGTCTAGATATCATACTTATTTATATTCAATTTTAAATTGTAGGTACATTTCTATAATGATTAGCTGCAAGAAGTAGCGAGTTGTTTTACCAAATTAAATCCATCAAATCCTACCGCTGAGCAGCCGAAATTCGCAATGTAAACTACTTTTAGGTAACCCATTGTATCAGGAAAGCAGTGCTAGGCACTCACATATTCTTTTACTTCACTGTACTTATTAATCAGAACATCTATTGACGAAAGCAATTTACACATTTATACAGTACATTCACGATGGTGTTAGCTAATTATGTACGAAAACATCGGAAAGTTTTCTATGGTATGACAGCATGTCACTGCGATCAGTAATTAGATGATTGGACAATCATCCAAAACGTAACAAACAAGAACAAAAAATAAATCCCTGACTGTTAGAATGCTCGTAGTTTATCTCGATGTCGTCAACTTTAGATATGGTTTCTACTGTATTTTGATGGACTGAAATTTTTATAGACATAAGAAAAAGGGAGGAAATATAAAGCCCAATATAACTGTGGAAGCGTTCTGAAAAATGCGAAAGTAGTAAAGGATTTCCAATACAATGGAATAAAGTTTTTGTATCAGCAAGGGAATCTGGAATTCGGATAGGAGAGAAATGATTTTGAAAATAATGGGACACAAGAGAAGTCATTACTACTGAACACTTTTTACACCTTTGAAATTGTATATGGACGATATAATTCACCGGAACAATCTTGAAAATGAGTCGAGAGCATGCACGATTGTCGAACTTCGAGAGGAACTGTAAAGTAAAGCATATGACAAGACAACTGAATGCAAAATGAGTTAAGATAAAAAGACCAAATTCATTAAAGCAGTAACCGAAAAGAACGCAGTATTCTTCAAATCGAATATTGTTTGACAGTGGAGAATTGTAAATAACTTCGAGCAAACTTCGACATTTACAATGATTATATATTTCACAAGAAAACAGCGGTAAACAAACCTAGTCAGTTGGATAAGTGCAGAATTTAGGCAGTCTGGTGAACATAATTCCATCTTAATCTTTGATTACAGATCACACAGTTAAACAGTATTACTTACTATGTGACATTCTGGGGACAATATATTGCTCATAACATATGAAGGCAATCACAAATTCCTGGTTTTAGTCTGACGAATAAACATGGATGAAAATGAAAAACACTCTCATTTTGAACAGGAAAGGGTACAATAATCCATGCTAAGTTGCCGAATATAGCTTATTTCGGAATACTGTTAGACTGCTGGTAGTTTTATCAGTGATGATCTTTTGATCGAAGAATCGTTGAAATGTGAATACTGTTAAATAAATCTAAAAGGTGAAGAGTTTTTTCTCGCTTGGAAGCAGTAGAATGTACAATCTACAAGAGTTCACTACAGTTGATATGGTCATTTTAGCAAAACCACTCAAGGTAGGAAAAAGCTGTTGGTTTAGTTCTGGAAATATTATTTCTTGAAAAGCATACATTTAAATAAAAAGCCATTCAAGTAAGTGACACAAATATGTGAAATAAAACAGTGTTCCTGAAGCACAAAGTTATATACTCGGTTATAACGTAAGTGCGGCGGCTCCTTCAGTGAACAAAACAAATAGTCGATGTAGTAATCAGAAAGACACTTCACAAAGTCGGTTTTTGGCTGTATTCATAATAGACTAACATCAGTTGGAGAAACACTGGAAACCTGGGAGCGATGAACTCCTCGGTAGTGCGCATCTGTGAACCCGCCAGTGATTGAACACAAGACCTTCAGGTTCCATGTCTAGCACGTTACCTACCATTGAGCCAATGGGTCAGCATCCAGAGATCCACATCCCCTAATTCTGTCAGTTTACAATATAGTACCATCTCTATCCAATGCCGTCGATGAGTAAATGGTCCTTAAGTCCGACTTAGTTGGCCTCACCGGTCACAACCTTTCATTAGAACTTTGGGAATCTCATCTCAAAGTAAGTCACTAATGAGCACGAGATTAATTCAATTTGTAAAATGGTGCGAATTTATGTATTGGTTTTAAGATGCCGATCCAGTGGTTCAGTGGTGACGGACTGGCCGCGGGACCTGAAGGTCCTAGATCTGATCCCTGGAGGGGTCATGGGTTCGCAGTGCTGAGGAGTTTCATAGTGTGACAAAATAACTCTCCAGCGTTCCCAGGTTTCTTATGGTTCTTCAACTGGTGCTTGTCCATGATGAGTATTAATCTGAAATCAACAGATAAACCTACAAATTGAAATCGGTTTCTGTTAAAAAAGTTGAATATAAAATGAGACAAGTACGCATCTCGTGCTATTTAAACAGATAGTTTCGTGTAATCTATATGACCAAATAAAGTCTGTTAAGCGAAGAACCTGAAGAAAACAGCCTTCACGTGATATCGATCCCTTAATAAGCAAGACTGAAAAATGTATCTTACGAGTCGAAAGAATGATACCTACGGGAAGCAACAAAACGTAGAATATATATATATATATATATATATATATATATATATATATATATATATATATCGCATTAATGTATCCACTTAGCGAAACAGATGGATGTGCTAGTGAAAGTGGATATATGGCTAAATCCGATCTCCGTTCCAGAAACAAAAGTAGCCAGCTTCGTGTTTAAAAACTAGTAGAATATGAGGCCGCATACATTATGTGTAACCATAATGAATGAATAACTCTTCAACTCAGTACAGGTTTATTTATTAGGTTACATTGAGTTTTAACTACCCGACTGTCTAGATTAAATAAGGGGGAACGGCGAACCGTTGCTTGAAAGTCAGGTGCTTGCGACGAGAGGTATGCTCACAATTTTTATATATAAATGGTAGGTGAACCATATAGCACAGTAGTATCATCTAATTGCATAAAATTGATTGAACATTCTCTGTAGTGCATATCAACTTCTAGGAAGCAACAAGGTCGTTGCCAGATGTACTGATACAATTAAATGCATTTAAAGAAGCCGAATATTTTACGAAACGATGAGTACTAAACCACAGTTCTCAACACAACTTTAGTCACTTATGTGACTACACACAGCTAGCATCATTGTTCAGTAATTAGAATTACTAATCCAAACAACAAGTCAGATGGAAAACAGACACGTGAATGAATCATAGTTATTTTCTTTGAACTTGATAGCACAAAAATATATCACTGCATTCATTGTGGAGTAAAAAACATCTTTTTGTAGTTCATTAAACATAATGAACCCATAAACGAGTAAGAAAGCCAAACTAATCACTAATTAGGTACATATAACTGGCACAATCTATTGCCAGATTACTTCTTCCTTAATGAAAACAATTCACTATTCAACAGTAAGGTCGTTACTGAGAAGAGGTCGAGATGTTAGATTTCGGTCAATTTGTTCACAATTAAATTTGAACACTTAGTCATCCCTCATACAGTACCAGCAAAAAGATCACTGGGCTTGTCAACATTGAGCAGTACTGTGCTTACATGAAGTTACTCGTCTTACAGTTAATATGATTACATCTTGTTGGGATCACGTCAGACACTAATGAGTGATTCTGACAGTTTACAACATTTAGGAGCGAAAGGTACAAATAGAATGATTTCCATGATATTTCATTGTAATTTTTATCACTTTAAACGAACAGAAAGATAAATGACAAAAAATTCAGCAAGTAAATAAATTAAAACACTTTGCTTGGATGTTGTTTTTACACTCATATTTATAAGCTTACTGGTCATAGTGTCACATAAGTATACGAACAGGATGGCTCTGCGAGGGAAAATATGAACACACTGTTGTTGCAGATTTGGATCGCCGACATTTGTGAACAAACAGGTAACAAACAGCCAGGATTTTTTTCACTTTGGTTCGAGGAATCCACAATCAAATATATACATCATTACAGGCAGTTACCAGTCGAAAAAAGACCATACGACGAACATCATTTGTAGGATTGGATTATAAATCAGGACTAGACAATGTCATAATGACTAATACCTGAAGACTGATAAATGTATCTCATTCAGTTTCAAAGGTCGAACACAACAGGAATAATGTTTGAAGGTCTATGGTCGAAGTGTACGTAAACAAGTCTCTGAATGAGCAACATTCTTCTTAGTATTAACTTGCTAACGAGCGCTAACACATAAGAAATTTAAGTTTACGAGTTTTCTCAATCAACAAAATAGAAGTTGCATTACATCAATGCGGAGAACTGTGTTTATAGGTCATACGCTAATAAAATAGAATTTGCTAGATAAGCAAATTATAAACGCTCTCGATACATTGGTTATTTACTTGAGGATAACCAACTTCATGTATTCTAGTCTTAAATGCTGATCGATCTTGACTACGGTGAAATGTAAAAGGTATGTTTTTAAAAAAGACAAAACAAGACGTTTTTGTGTAAATGTAAGCCGATTTATAAACGAATTTGGACAGATATATCCCATGAAGAACCGAATAATTCGACTCTTTACGATGGTATGCCATCATCTAGATTCAATTCGCTAACCTTTTCCGAATGAGTTATTTGAAGCTTTTCATATTTACTATTAGGGGTTCTAATAAACCATTGGTACCAGAAAACCTAACAAATATCTTTTGTCCGAATGTATGCTACAACATTCTATGTTGATAGATGACCTACCTATTTGTTCTTAAAGTTGTGCTGTTCAGTAACAGGGACAAGACCAATCCAATCACAGAAATGTCTGTAGCACATACAGGCACCGCAAGAAGGATATGAACAAATTAACATTTACATAAATCTTAATAAAGATTCTATGCACTAGCAGACTTACTTCATAATGGCATCTTGGAAGTCGGTAATTTGGTCTTGTGTGGCCTGAACTAAGCCATCTGTACGTACTACGGATAAGTGCGCTACCCCAATTCTCAGCCAATTAAGGAACATCTACACAGAAGATAAAATGTAACAAAAAGTGTTATTAGATGGAAAAAATAGATGCAGGTTTGTGACCGAACACTACGTGACGCAAAATAGAGAATTAAACTGAAATCGATTTCGTTATAAATTTACTTATTACCACTTCACTGAATAAGTAACACAGAAAAACGATTAGTGTATTGTTTTTGATTAATAAGAGTTTAAAAATTACTTTTTGGGTTTTAGTCAGTCACAAATGCAAAGACCCAAATATTTACTGATAACACCAGTGAAGATAATGATAAACAAATTTCAAGATTTATAAATCTTCAAAAGTGGAATGTGGGAAGTGAGTAGTGATGCGCCAAAAAAAATTAGGTGGTCCTAAAACTACAAAGGAATAAAATTCACTAACTAAAGCTAACCTACAAAACCTACATTAAAGGGAATTTTAAAATTAACTACTTATATCAAAAAACAAAATTTATACAGTATACATACCACACTTGAGTCTTCCCTAAGGGATGCGCTAAATAACTAGTTATTCACAATCAGTCGCAATGAACAAAAGGAAACGAAACAAATTTGATGTGAGTGATTAAAAGGTTGAAGGAAGCAATAGTTTCTAATTGAAAAGATGCAATGTAAGCTTAGACAATTTGCATTATCTAAAAAGTAATTTTTGTTGACTTCAATGGATGAACTCTACTTTTTTCTAAGCAACCATGTACGGGTTTATGCAAAAGATTATTCGAAACAACTGGTCGAAGATTGGTGGTACTAGTTGGGTAACCAAACCTCAGTAGATAGAGCTGGGTTGAAAGTCAACTTTAAAGACTGATAGGCAGTAGTTCCATCGTTCAAATAACCATGACACTAGAAATAACAGCAAACAGTCGTATACTTCACTTTCCTGAAAGTTAAATGTACTGAGTCGTTTCAAAAGTACTTTGAACACTCGCATAAATTGTAGAACAGTAACAACCTACAACGAAAAATATATTCATTTAAAACGCTATAACGAACCTTAAACAAAAAAGATGAGATCGAAATGCATTTAGCAACCATTTGCACGTTCGTGTAGTAGACAATGAGCCATACCTATTGTGTTAAGGCTAGAGATACAAGGGTGTCCTAAACTCAGCAAAACACTACTGATTAGAAAAGTAGTTGCTTCCTACTTAGGACTGTGATTTTGATGACAGGAAAAAGCAGATTCGAACAAGTATTTTTATCAGCGTGCGCTGCATACCTGCAGTTGCTTTATGAAAAGCACAAGCTAGTTGAAACTGGCCTTAAGTAAAGGCATGACGAAGTCATCTACAAGTCACAACTTTTTTCGATCAACAAGAAATATTTTTAGGTGCTTAGAATATACAGAGCGGAGACTAAAATCATGTTTAAAAGTTATAGATTCAATCAATTTTCGTACTGTATATGTTGAATGATTTGAACTGGTACAATAACAAACCAACACCCTGGACGAAACTGAAGTCTAACACTTTTTTACAAAACAGCTAAGTAGGCGTATTTCACCGATTGATTCCTCAGTGTATGAAGTTCGAGGGAAATGTAACAAATAGGTTATTGAAAAAGTGCAGTAGACTTGTCACACTATTCAGGTATGCAAACTTTTAATTCTTATTATATTTTTGGGTGATAATTTAGGTGTGAAAATAAACAAATACAACATAAAATCAACTGCATGAGGGAATGAGGTCACGAAGACTCACTGTCGAAACATTACAGCTAACTAAACTGCTTGGAAGAAGTTTCCCTTAAATACAAGTCCGTCACAGATGATTGTACGTTGATGCGACTCACCGACAACAGCATACAACACCCAAGATTAGTGAGTGAAGTAATGAGGTTGGATCCCGATATGAACAGACGAAAAGTAGTACTGTTACGATGAATTATAGCAACAATGGATTTGAAAATAAAAGAGTAGAAGTTCTATAAGACTTGAACCGATGTCTATACAAGTTAACCCACTTTGGAAACATTTTAACGGGTAGACGTATTTTGATAGTGATGATAAATATGAGGTCCAATGAAAACCAAATCCCTAGTGTACTGAAGATATGTACCTAAGGTAAACAGTACGAAAAGTAGGTAAGTAATGGAATAATTGGAGATAATAAATATGGGTATTAAGACTACAAATGTACATGATTATCTGGATATATTTAAAGAATTTGATAAACACACAAGAGTAAAGGATTGATGTAAGAATCATGACGCCTAACATTTAATTGAAGTGAGTCAAATATGATAGTCTTTACACAAGAATCCAATCACCAAACAGTTAACTACTTATTATTATTTGTCCCTTGGGTTCCTAGTGGCACATAGGGCTTAAGTAGCACGTCTCCATTGCACTATCGTCTTTCCAACCTTTCTCCACGACTGCCCATAAGCTTTTATTTCTTCCTCACACGATCTCCTACATGTCACCCTCGGACACTTAACTCGTCGTTTCCCTTTTTGAATTCCACTCGAGGGCGTGGCACGTGATATCTCCGGATGGTTTTCTCAGTGTATGCCTAATCCATCTCCACTTTCTTCTGTATATTTGTTGAGCGATGGGTTCTTGATTGGTTCGTTGTCAGCCCACCAACCCAGAGTTCCTTGTTGCTTATTCTTATTATTCTGGTCATCTGATCTTCAGTATCGCGTGAGCGTACGCAGCTGTTGATGAATGTCTGTAGTTTGTTGGAAATGCTTTTCGTAACGCGCCAAGTTTCTGAACTATATAGAAGCACTGGTTTGACTGACTTAGGGTTGAAAAATTTGGATCTTGTTCACGCTTTATGCTGAGTGGAGCGCAGTAGATCTCCGCACTGAAACGATGCTGCCTAGGTAGGTGAAAGAAGCTACTTCTTTTAGGTTTCTTCCGTTGATGGTGATCGGTGCTTGTTGTTGCTGTTGTTGTTGGTTGGGTATCTTCATCACCTCTGTCTTCTCTACATTCACTTGAAGTCCCGTCCTCGCTGCCCTGCTTCTGTCAACTTGTTGGTTTTTGCCTGTGGATCTTCGAGTTTGTGCGACAAGACAGAAATAAATCATCGGCAAAATCCAAATCTTCTACGGTCTTTACATCGGTCCTGCCAGCGTATGCCTATCTTCTCGCTCCTCACAATTTGTTGCATGACCCAGTCGACCACAATCAGGAAGATCATGGGTAATAGTAGGCGGCAACCTCGTCTTACTTCTGTCTTCACTTCAGAGGCGTCACTGGGCTTTCCATTGTGAATCACTTGGCATGTGACGTCGTCATGTAGCTGTTGTTGAATGAGGTTGATAAAGGTTTGTGGTACTCCGTAGTGTTGAAGCAGTTGCTTGCCAAATTACTTCTCGGTCGACGCTGTCGAAGGCCTTTTCAAAATCGATGTAGTTGAGGTGAAGAGTTGACTGTCATTCTATGCTATGTTCTATGAGATGATGCATAGCGTTGCGATTTGATCCCCACATGATTTGTACTTCATGAATCCAGCCTGTCGTAATTTCGAATCTAGCGCATCTTTTAGTCTCTCCAGGATGATGCGACCAAATATTTTGCTTGGGGTGGATAGGGACAGGAGGATGATTCCACGCCAGTTCTTGCCAAGAATTAGGTCTCCCTTCTTTGGAAATTTTACAAGGTAGTTCTTCTTCCAATCAATCTGCAGGTACCTTTCCTTCCTTCCAAACTTTCTGCAGTAGTGGTGTGAGCATGTCCGCTGTTGTCTCTGCGTCTGTTTTCAGTGCTTCTGGAAGAATTCGATCTGGTCCTGCTGCTTTCCCGGATTTCAGCAGCTTTATGGCGTTAGCTAACTACTTAAACCTTCACAACTCAACGGAACTGTGACAGAAACGTCTTGATTACTCGAGATAACATTATAAACAGGACTTTTTGATTACCTTTGCAGTGTTTAGTAGGTGCACCTACATCTACAGTTTGACATGATATTACAAAACAGTAGTAAAAACATGAGTTCAGACAGGAATCTAGCCTATATGTGAATACGATTTAGGAGTACCGATCGTTTGGTCACCATGATTTCTTAAGTATTGCTGTGTATAGCCATTTTCAGGCACATAAGCAACAAGTAGTGTAACATTTCCTCACAGTTATTTATTATGACAATGTTAGTAGTATCGCTACCAGTAATCAATTTATGTTTAGCAAACCAAAATGCCTGCAGGTAGCCGATCCTTTCTTGCAGCTGTCCAGCCAAGAAATAGTGTTATACAAGCAACGTAAAATAAATTTTGAGAGTTCCACAATACATAAGAAAATGAATTGACCTTATTGAGTGACAATAAGTGACAGTCGAAGATACATGTATAACACGTATATATGTTACGCCAAGTGAGTAGCATCGTTTAATAACTCATGGTACACCAGTTACTCATCGGTGAATGCGAGCTCATCTATCGTCAATCTCGTAAACCTTTGCTTCTTAATAGGAAAAAACTATTTGACGCTAAAGATTATGACATGAACACCAAACTGAATATGAACGACTGTACAACGAAATCAAAACTTAAAGTGCGAAATGCAACAAAGAAACGACTAAAATCATGCAACATAAAGCCTGCTAACACACAAAAGCACAGTAGGTAACCAGGTGTTATAAAAAAAGATGCATTCACCTCATGATTAGTCATGACTTTGAGATGATATAAGATATCAGCCATCTCTGGAAATCGTTCATCTATTAATCCAAGGCAGCAGGCTTGTAGTAAAGCAGAAACTAATCTTTGGCCACCACAGTAATTATCCATATCACTGGAACCAGCAGGATTTGTAGGTGCGGAAGATGTCAACCACACAATAACATTTTGAGCGGCCAAAGCTGGCTGGCAGGATGGCGTCGGAAGCTGCCTACCAGACGACAAAATCTGCGCAACTTGTATTGGTGTTTCTTCACAAGCCTCACTGGTAAATATAATAAGCTCAATAAAAAACCGAGCCGCAGCAGCTGATGCACTAGTGGAAGCTGATGTTGAACTTGATTCATCATTGTTGGATGAATTCGGATCAGGAGTGTCATCACCAGAGGAACCAGCACCAGGACCAGTACAGCACAAATTCAGCGACGATACCGCCGTGTCACACAATTCATTTAAACGGATCCTATTGCTAGTAAGAAAAACAGCTGCACAATGTTGTACAAGTCGAGTGCATAGTCGAAATAAGTCCTCCACAGTGTGAGGTTGCTGGCTAAGCCCAGGACCAGAGAGGGATTTCAGAGTTGGTGAGCTCAATGCCTGAAAAATGATGGTAGGTAAAAATAAACATAGTAAGAGAACCTTTGAAATGATATGTGAGACAAATCTAACTTTTTACTTCATTGAAACCGAGGGAAATGTACAGGACTTCGTATAAACACGAATTGGTTTAAATTTCCACACTTCAAGAAAAGAGGTAACAAAAAGAAACGAAAGACATAATACATGACAGATTTCATGCAAAATATACAAATAAATAAGAGGACACAGGATATATATAACGAATAAAAAGCTCTTACAGAAAAAAAACCATACCAAGTCGTAAAAATGACAACTGTTGGTTTGAACTGGATGTAAAAAAATGTAAGAAGCAGTTAATATATCTATTATTCCACCATAAAGACGAAGATCAGGAAATTCATATCGCTCTGAATCGTTTCTTAATGAAACGAGGATTACGTATGATAACACATCCGGATACAAATACCACAAAACCTGGTGAGATCTAATGAATACAAGTTCATTTCGGTGTTTCATGGACAGCAGATATCACGATCTGAATATTAATACTATTACTGTGGGCTTAGTCGGACTGCTATGTGGCTTCAGTCCGTGAAGTTTCTGACCACTGGCCTGAACTATGTGAGGTACACAATGCCTGGTTGTGGTCCTCGAGATAAAAAAGATATCAATAATATACAACCTCTGCTAGCAGGGCTGAAATTTGGTCACAATGATGCAAATGTATTCACTCTTTGATATCCTCTAAAGTTTGAACTTTTTCGCTAATCTGAATCTTTTGTTTTTTCTCTTTCTACTTTGATATCACTCTTTTTCTACTCACTTATTGCTTGCATGCTGCTATGAAGTGTAGTAACTTGAACTTGTGCACTTTTGTACAAGGTTCTACGTTTATTTGTCTGCCTATCCCTGTTTTATTGTGAGCTTCATTTGCGAATATTTGGAACTACAATTTAACTATTTTTTATGTTTGTGTATCTATTTGAAACATTCAGCCACATACAAAAAATAACCTAAATGAACTGGTAACAATTACCTCATACACATTGACCAAGCCAACTCTACAGTCTAGCTGGTCTCCAAACTCATCGACCAGCACACTAGTTAAGTAGAGGAAACTTGAATGCTGTCCACCAGTAGTGTAAGCGACAACAATCTGAAAAAAAGAAAGTTCCAGGATACACAGCACCAATATGTGAGAGAAAAAGCTATTTACAGTAATTGTAAACTTTATACCACTAGGATTCTACGGCTTATGACAGTTTTGATACGGGTTCACATGCTTTGTTATTTATTTCTTAAAGTAGTATAACTGAAACAGATTTCAGCAATGAACGTTTGAAACTTCAGAGTGTAGGTTATGACCAGCATACAAAAATAATCATGACTTTGAAAATTGTTTTTATCAGACCCATGATATTACCAGAATATGAGAATCGAAGATCTACAGGCAAAAACCAACAAGTTGACAGAAGCAGAGCAGCGAGGACGGGACTTCAGGTGAATATAGAGAAGACAGAGGTGATGAAGATACCCAACCAACAACAACAAACTCTAATCACCATCAATGGGAGAAACTTAAAGGAATTAGCCTCCGTCACCTATCTAGGAAGCACTGTTTCAACTACAGGCGGCGCAGACGAGGATGTCAAAGTCAGAATCGGAAAAGCAAGACAGGCGTTCATTAGCCTGAAACCAGTGTGGAGAACTGCGCTCAGCATGTGGAACAAGATACGGATTTTCAACACCAACATCAAGTCAGTGCTCCTGTATGGTTCAGAGACTTGGCGCGTCACGAAAGGGATTTCCAACAAACTACAGACATTCATCAACAACTGCTTACGCTCAATACTGAAGATCAGATGGCCAGAATAATAGGAATAAGCAACAAGGAAATCTGGGAACGAAACAACCAAGAACCCATCGCTCAACAAATGTGCAAGTACCTGTGGCTGAACAAATATGCAGGAGGAAGTGGAGATGGATTGGGCATACACTGATTCTATGGTGTAGGACATCAAAAATTTTATTATTGAGTTAAGGAGATATGGATTAAGTGAAAAACTAATAGGTAAGGTGTATATACATTGTGATAGATCGTGATAATCACGTCAAATGTATTGTTTGTGGTAATCACTGACGACACTAGGTTATCCAACTAGATGAAATGTGCAACATTGTTCTTACATCACTAGTATATTTTTACTTAAGTTCAAATATCAGACGTGTAGTCGTTACGCAAGCTACCTAAAGTAGTTGGCTTGAAATGATAATGCATAATATATTGTGCTATAGACATTAAATACTAGTCCTCCGATGAGTGATATATCAGATTCAAAACTGACGTGAAATTCTTTCACATACATATGTGAAGGGCCAATTACATCAAATTGACTCAGTGAGTGGGAATTACACAACACTGAGAACTAGTCTTACATAAGGATGAATGATATTTTGCTAACTTGAATGAAGTAGGTGCCGGTTTTCAACGAAGAAATAATGGCCAACAGCCGATTACCTAAATAATTCACATGGCCTTACATATTGATAATAATTTGAAAAACAGAGAAACTATAACGTAAGGTACGTAATTCAAACTCACTTTCTCAGCCAATTCTGGGAGAAGATCTCGTAAATGCACAGAAAAGCATCGTACAATGAAGCGTATGAGACGACAAACATGTTCCATCGGTCGCATACGTGAAGCATAATGTATGAGCACGCGTGTGACAACTGGCCAAATTACTTCTCTGACCAACCGCAAACATTCAGCTAAACAATTTTGGGCGGAAAGTAACATTTCAGATGCAGTACGATCAACAGACTCGCGTTCCCTTGCAGTCCACTGACTAGAACTTGGATTTCCCAAACGTCGCAAAAGACAATTAAACGTGCGAAAAAGTGCTGCCAAATAGTCAAGCCAGACACGAGGATCACTAAGAGTATCTGAACCTTCAATAGGAACGTTCCCATCCATCAGCTTGGAATAAGAGACGTAAAGTGGGAAGACAATAGCGTGAACGAATATTAGTAGTATCATGATAAGTACATATTAGTGAAATAACTGTAAGGTCACTGGATTATAATTTGTTACTCACACTGGTGTTAGTATAGTGACTTGAAAATAAGATTTCGTAGCTGGTAACTTAGTATCTAAACTATACAAAAATCCAACTGAAGGCTCCCCACTGCTTTTTAATCGCTAACTGTCCATGTATACTAACAACAAGTGGAAAAGTGGCATGAAGATGAACCCGAATAAATTAGATAGAAAATGCTAGGAAAGGTAACAAAACTAAGTAAACATAAAGACTTTAAGATGAAGGAAGACAGCAATATCATTCATGTGACCAACTAAGTCCTTTTCTCGATCAAATTAGTGGTGACGTGGTTATGAGATTAAAAGAAACAGCTTATTGTTACAGTTACAGACAATATCAAGTGCCCAGTTTGTCTCCATTGCGATTAACCATGAAGAAATTCTTGAATTACAGGTGACATTCTATACACAGCTTACGACGGATACCTATTACAGTAAATTCTCAAGTAAATACAGTCTACATCGCTGAGGCAAACTCACTTCATATGAACGATGAATCAAGATAATATATATAAGTAGTCTTTAATGTGTGAAGTAGTAGACTTGGTTTCCGTCTCTCTCTGAATATACACAACAAGTTCAACTGATGGAGAATTGATAGGACGCTACAAAATTCATATATCAATTTAATAATTGAAAGCAAATGATGAAGTCATCAAAAATCATTTGAAACTCGGAAATCTTGAGTATATCAAGATAATCCAACTAAGCAGCAAGTGCTTACAACTGTATACTTACTAGGTGCAATTATTAGCTTAACTGGCTGGCTGTTAAAACGTTTTCACAATACAACTGGGTGAAAATATCTTACACCAACGTTGAATAATTTTTTCAAAGTGCACATGCCTTGAAGCAATGCATATTTACTTACGATTATCACTTATTTTCCGAAGAGTTGCAACTATGAGCGAAACAGACGAAGTCAAAATTTAGTTACACCTCATCCTCCTACTCAGCAACGTTCACCTAATTTTTTTTGTTGAAACGCTTTTATTGCGTTTACCCAGGGAGAGAGATGTATATGAACACTAATCTTAAGACAAGACTTTTGTACATTTCACTGAGACATCAATGAATCATTAATATATTGGCATGTTTAGTTTTACTGTTAGGTGATCGGAGATAGGGACTTTTCAAGTTCTTGCCTCCATCTCAGTAAGTATAGCATTGGTATAGTTGTGTTTAAACATTAACAGACGTGTAGTTTTATCCTTACGCTAATTGCAATGGTAACAATAACTGGATTTATTAGTCGCCGTATACAACTACCAAACTACCTATCAAGAAAAAGGACAACAATAATTACCTTAGATAAGCACTCTAAACTGACGCTGCAGATTTGTGCTACTCTCATTGGGAAAGCTTGTCTAGACGGTCGAGGATTAAGCTCAACTCCACCACCACCTGTACCAACAGAACATATAAGACCTCGTCCAATACCAGAGAAAAAGTGAGTAGCATCATGAATAGGAACCCAAGCAAGCCTCGGTAAATTATAGGCAACTCGGTTAACCAAATCCTGCCAATGCTCGTCAATCAAAGCAAGACGTGGGGAATCAGAGTTATTCGATGAAGTAGTTGACAGGACATCGCCATTAGGAGTAGATGTTGGAGTTGCACGATAGACAGCACATAGCGAACCAAGAGCTGAAAGTGCTGCTCCAACAGCAAGCTTCTGACCAGGCTGAAATATAAGACGGAAATTGAAGAATATTTCTCAGGGAAACAAAAACGATATCAAATCACATTATGTTAAGGTAAGATATCGAACATGTATGAGCTTAATTATGTTACGGAAAGCTCAATGACACACAAAATTTCTCGAATTCAAATGGATCTCACTATAAGTCGTAAGAACATATAAAAAACTCAGTCGCATGGCTTTTGGCCCAATAAACGATGATTCATATTATAACAGCAGTTGATTCCACTAGTATGCCAGTGAAAGATCTAGTTAGTGTAACCGCGAAACAGTTCCCTCACCGATTATAAGAGTTTTTTCGCAGGATGAAACATTATTATTAATACATAAGCACATTGATGAAAATAGATCACTGAGTCAGTAGGCAATGAATAAACTAGCTCAACGCTAGTTACAGCTGAATAAAATCATCTAGAATGCATTAGAACTTGATATGCAACATGTGACAATGAGTGATAATAACCACATGATAACGTGTATGGAAAAATGAAATCCAGTGGACCTCTATCATAGAAAATATTTCTTGATATTTTGGTTTACGAATGACCAGAAAATGCACAAATCATTTATATATACATGACTACAATATACGTTCATCTATTTAGCGCATTTAATTGTTGTAGCACAAAAAATATAAAAACCTCTGAATACTACAGTATATTTCACTATGAAAAGATGAAAACAAGTACCCACAAAATAACTTACCTGTAGACATTGTGATTCAACACCAGCAGCCTTTTCGATTATCTCAACTAGTTGGTTGACAATTTGGCGACGAAGGTTAGGATGACAGGCAGCCCAGTGAGCCAGCTCCATATATAACATACAGCCAACTTCTTGAAGGGGAGGTGGACACGGTCCAGTAAGACCTGGAAGTACTAATTTCGATATCAGATTTGATATATGGCCCTCAGGATCATGAGGAGATAATCGTTTAGCAACTGTTGTAAGCATAAATAGACATGCCTCCGACTCACGAAGTACTTCATGTGCTGACGCCTGTGCATTTGCAGACATAGCTAGCATTTGTAACTTTTGAACATAGTTGTAGAGCTGGAAATCAAAATATTACAGTGATTATGATACGCACAATAGTCTGCTTAATTCAATTCATTTAAGTCGATACTTGTCATTAGTGAAAACTGAGGAGATTAGAATAAGTCATAAAAATGATTTGAAATGAGATTCAAAGTGTAACCCTCACCAGGGAAGCGAGTTTAAATGTGTCCGATTCAAAGTTCCGTGAAGTTTAGAATTTTTACGGCGAAGATTTCCGATAATTTCCCCACAAATCTATTTTAGTTTTACCAAATTAATGGTGTTTCGTAACAGCGGAAACCTTAAGATAATGAGCACACCAATAGCTCAATGTTTTATTCAAAAACTGCGTTCTTATAATTACAATCCAAGCCTACCGGGGATTGAGTGATGAATCGGCTATGTACAAAATAACCATTATTCCGATCCGATTTTCTGCAAGCAATTTGACCTAAAAAGCACATTCACCAAAGTGCTAAGTAATTTTAAAACGCCACTCAAGTTTTCTGCATAGACAAAACTAAGCATATCAAAGCTATTCAAATATATGAAAAATAGAGTTCGAATTGAACGAAACGTAAGATTATTACAAGGCATCAAAGAAGTGAGCCCAAAAATAAATTGTATGGACAAAGGAATAACAGAAATACCTCTACGAATATAGCTTCTGCTCCAACCAAACCCAGGATATCTTGCATGAGATCATGAACATCTTCCCGGAAATCTCTTAATTCATCTGTACTTTCTAAATCAGCTGTGTTACTTGGACAGTAGTTAGTCAGCGCAACCACAACTCGAGTGAAGTAGGGTATCAGAGCCGCAACCGGGCGCGTCACGCCACCGGAGGACTTAGAACCATTGATGGAAGTGGAAGAGTCCAAACCCCCTTGATTCACCGATATTGAAGCACTTAGGGATCGATGCTGGACAAGAAAGTGTACAAAACAAGGCAAAACTTATCTTGTGTGTAAATAATTCACAAAAAACATAAGTTGTAGTTACTTGACAAATTTTATAGAAGACAGTATATAGTCAAGATAAAATAGACAAAAAATAAAAATGGGTGAAAGTTAGAGATACCTGCCTTCGTTAAAAGTACCTGTTCCCCACCGAACTTCACAATGGAATCTATTATTGACTAAAAAAAGTGGTTCTATAGTGCTATCACCAAGTTATCTACTTTATCTGCAGAATAACATTTATTAACTCACTTACGCCAGTGAACTGCTTCCGTGCTTCACTAACACTCAAATACAATTTTTTTGAACAGTTGTCGTGATAACTTTCTTACTTGGCTTAACAGTGACAGGTTATCTAAGGACCACATACTTCCGACGGTACACTTCGGTTTAAATTTTCAGGTTCTAAAAAAGGCTTGGAAATAATTATAAGTTTAGGTCCTAATGTAAATTGAAGTATATACTTATATAACGTGTACAACTAACATTACGATGGTGGTACCTAAAGCTAAAATCATACTGACTGGTGAACGTGATGATGCTTTCCCTGCTGCAGAGTGGGCCTAGGAAAGGTTGGTGCCTAACATAGCACACTCTTCCGTTCCCTGAGGTCTTCCAGCACCCGTGGTATGGGCTTTTCAGATGGAACCAAGTTAACCAGAGCTAAACAAACTTCCCCTAAAGATCTGTGGGACCTGCCTTAAGCAGACGGCCATTATTACTAATACGATTTTGTTCTAGCTACTTTGTCAAGAAGAGATAACCTTCCATGGTGTGGGCAACTGGTAAGTGTCAACCACCCTCACAACTGTGTCAATACTCAACCTCCTCTAATTCATTACTTACTTTACACATCTTAGCATTCTGATTTTCCCTCATATCTCTCGGTCAATGTTCCTACGTTATTCTTAATTTCTCGCAGGTCGAAAGCCCTTAATAACTCGAATTCCTGGAACGGGATCTGTGGTCTCGTGAAACTGCGCTGTAAGCTACACATTGAAGCTTTCAATATCGACAGTTGAAGGCTATCGCTTCTTCTGAAGCACGTACTTAGACAGTAATGACATGTTGGTGGAGCACATTGACGGAGAAACCTACAACCACAAGATCATTCTGAGCAGCGCTCGGCGTCGAGAATACTACGACTATTCTCTCAATGAGGATCTGGTAACAGTTATTACAACAGGATGGCGTTACTCATCCTGAAGAAACCTGGTACCAACTCCAGTTTCCTGTAGAAACAGCTCTGAAGATCGTAACTGATTCTCAGAAATAAGTTAGAAGAGACCAATGGATCTCAGCAGCTCCTCCTGAATTAATGGGTGCGAGTGAACGCATTCCTGCAGGATTCGACCACAAAGGGTAGAGAAGTCTGCTTGAATACTGACTGACGAGGAGATTTACAACAGAGCGATTGAAATTTTAACGGTTGGTGTGATCACTAGTTGTAAGTTTGCTCGCAACATTACTAAAACCTAGGAATTTGATCATTGTGTCCCAGCATTCATTTAAAATCCACAGTAACTTTATTTTCGCCAAGTGTGCAATGTTAGATATTTTCCGTAGCGATACAAACGATATCATTTTAAAAATCCGTCAATATTGACAGATTGGGTTGGACTGTTAACATAAACATTTGAAGATACCGAAAGTTTAGTAGTAATATACGTGAAAGTGGCAATGTGTGATACGGATATCCGACTAATGGAAGAGTATGAACCGCTGAGGACTTGTGTTGATGTTAGGAACTGCCGAGTAAACATTCGTGGGTTTATAATGACCACCTAAAACCATTCATCATCAGCAAATTAAACATGTTACGAGACGGCCCATAGTGTCTGGAATAGCTTTTTCAAGAAAAGACAAGAAGATGACCTATGAAAAAACATATTGGTAGGAGTATGTCAACGATTTTTACCCCGTAACTGATCGCACTAATCCTTCAAAAAAAGTCTGATTTTAAAGTTTGAATCATGTCGCAGAATGCTTTTCAATTTATGAACACAGCTGTAGGGATGCAACCACGAAGTGCTACATCTTTGTAAATGTTGTTTTACTCAAACCGACATTGCGTTGAAGTTCATCCGTTTTCCAGGTATCCAGGATACCTTATGAGCTCCATTAAAGCGCAACAGTGCATTAAAACACTCTTTTATAGTATACCAATAGGGGATCTCCATGAAGCACAAACCGATGTAGGTAAACAGTCTCCAGAAAGATTAGAAATACATTAACTCTGTCGGAAAATATGGTGGCCATTGAACATATCAACAACAATAGTTAACATGGTATGTAGTTCACTATGTTGGTACACAGTCCCACTAACTTACTCGAATTGCATCATCAGCCAATGAATGCAAGCGTGGAAGGTAATGGATGCTAACTCACGACTACCAAGAGGAGGGGGTACTTCAAGGATCACAAGAATACATTCCATTGTACGCAAGTCTCCGAAACCACCAGACCCAGGACTAGTGGGTTGATCAACTAGAGGAGGTCGTAAAGTTCTGGCAAGTGATGAGAAAATATGAGCCAAACATGTGCATCGATCTTTATATACTTCAAGTTGTTCTTGTTGTTGAACTGGTCCTGCTGCAGATGCAATAGAATGTGAACATTCTTGAACAACACTAACCAAACTGTAAATATTTTCCTGTAACCAGCGTAGTAACTCACTGTTTGAATTGCTCAGTTGCTGATATCACAATAAACAAGCAAGGAAAACAAAAAGTTACTGAAATCACAATAACAGAGGGAAGACATATCAAACAAATATTCTTTCATCTATAAAGCAATATTCTGTGCGGTAAAACCAACCTGATGATAGGCAGTTGGAAAAAAACATTACACAAAACTGTCTATAATAGGTCTAAGATATTTAATAAATGAAAGGCGAATCACAACCCATTAAAATCTTATATTCTAGACTGAGCTGCGCTACTACCCAGTTACCCAGGTTGAAGTAGCTGGAGAAAGATTTCCGTCCAGGACCGTAATTTAATTTAGTGTTTTTGTAGTGTTCACTGCAAAGAAAGCTTGTCCAATCCTTTAGTTGAGAAGTATTTCCACTCAAAAGGACAAAAGTATGTGTCTATCAATCACTTTACACGCAACTGAAAACCAAGAATATAACAAAAAGGTATTAACTTATAAGTTCAATAAGAGAATATTTCTCTCGTTAACTTTCTCCGCAAGTCCTACAGATACATATTTATATTCGTCAATCTAAGAGATACATTTATTGACAATAGTGACATGCTTTTATAGCACGTGATTGATAATATCAAACAAGTTCGGAATTCCATATTCGATTAGTTTATCTGATATGAAACATAGTGATAGAGTATTACTGTATTATATCAAATAAACTAATTTAATATGAAATTACATTCTACTACAGTGTCTGGGGTGTACTCTTAAAGGGTAGGCATTGTTTTCAGGAAAAAATAACGTATATGACAAAAAGCAGTGTTAACCTACGGCCTCTATCTTTCTTAGACACAGCATCTCATTGAAATTTTTGCTACTACTGCATTGCATCCAGGAAAAAAGAAAATACAACTATCGGTAGACCTTGCCGAAAAAAAGGTCATGTAACAATGCAGATGCGACTAAACGTCTGGACGCTTTCTGGCCAATATACCGGTCGAAGTGAAAAGTATTATCGTATTTAGTAGTTTTTGATAATTACTTATGAACACAACAGAAATACAGTGCTAAAATAACTGTGTATGCTGTCTTAAAGAGTACATATACTCCAACAACTGACCCGTTAAAATATAAAAAAAGTTTAATAATTATATGATTTTTTTTCAACTCTTTTTTCCGTGCAGTAAAACTGAAAAAGCTGTTGAAAGTAGACGGAGATAAACGAAAGGAAATCCCCCTTGGGACCACCACCCTTGGCTACGACGGAGTATGATCCAAATTATATCACTAATAGGTTGGAAGAAGACTCAGACTGACCAAACTAAAAAGGGCACCAGTTCATGAAGTCTATGAACCGTGTAAGGAGGTGTACAATGCCTGGTTGCGGTCCTCGAGATAAAAAAGATATCAATGATGTACGACTTCTGCTGGCAGGGCTGAAATTTGGTCACAATGATGCAAATGTATTCACTCTTTGATATCCTCTAAAGTTTGGACTTTTTCGCTAATCTGAATCTTTTGTTTTTTCTCTTTCTACTTTGATATCACTCTTTTTCTACTCATTTTTTTTGCTTGCGTGCTGCTATGAAGTGTGATTACTTGGACTTATGGACTTTTGTGCCACATTTTTCGCTGACTTTGTCTGTCTGTTTATATCGAGCTTCATGCAACACCCATCTAGACAACCTTCCGCAAAAACCCCTTCAATGTGAAAATCCAAGTACAGGGCGGAAACCCCAAACAATTTGGAAATTTAGTTCAAAGAGACATGTAATATTGGTGTGAAAAACATGTTTCATGTTTCAACAACCAATGCTGTTATTCTCTTCTGGTAACCGAGTCAAATCAATAACCTATTGTTAGGGTTGTCCAATCACTAAGAAAAACTAACTTATATGTTTGTATTATGATTGCAAGACTTAAACCTTATTTCTGAGTCCGTTTTGCGCCATTGTACGTTACTTATTTTTTACCGCAGTTTAGGATACTAAGCGCTGATTGGTTCATTTTACACTTTTGTTATGCTATTTTGTTTTTCCTGGTCAAGGTCATCTAAGAATATATGAACGACTAAGTTTTCAGCTATTATTATTATTATTCAGGTTGAAGTAAATATACTTTCAATCGCATCGTTTCATTCTGGTGTCAGCTGAATATCGAGTTGGGCAATTATTGTTCTACCGTTAATCGTATCACGTCGGAGCATTGTATCGTTATATATACCGTGAATTATTACACCTACCTAATAGGATACGAATTTTCGATGGGCAAATATATGAGAGAATATAATCCTGACTACATATTCATTACACTTATAAGCTACACAGAACGAAAGTGTGTTTAAGACCTGAGACCTTTCAATTAATAACAGCAGGCAGCAGAAATTAAGTATGTTTTGTGCTTGGATGACCAAAAAGTCACCAGGACCTGAAGTTGACAAAACGTAATCATCTAAAGTACTGGAAGTGGACCTGAATGCGTGATTCAACCACTAAGATGAAACTCTGAAGCAATGATGAAATCAACGACTGAGGTATGTTGAAATTAAACAAAATGTGTCATCTAATGAGGAAGTGGTCGTGGATCGACTGTAGTGAGTGTTAAAAATATTGTCTGTCCATCTTTTCACATCAGTCTTCACATTCCTAACAGGTTGCATTTGTAATGCAACGCTACTTACCCATGAGGTCAAACCTGTTTGAATGACCAAAAACTGATCTAAGTCATTTGGCTAAACTGCTGGCTTGAGAATTGAGTTGCTTAAATGGTTCTTGTCAATTCTTTATTGTAATTGATTCGATGAATTCCCTCACAAAAGTCCCACAATAATTGCAATTATTTTTTTGTCATCATCCTTATTTATATTGCCATCTAGACAATAAATATTGATATTTTTGTTTTGGACTTATGGGATTTTGCACGTCGCTGGCTGGGGTTTAGCGACCGCTGATTCAGATTTAACAGTAACTGTATACTTTGATATACGATATCTGATGTAGGTATAAACTCTTGTTTCAGACTCTTAACTTTGAATTATTGAGTCAGATTCAAACTCAGACCACCTGCTTCAGGCTGGGTCATCACGCAGTATAATAAACCTCCAAACACCAAATGTAACTTACAACCTAGTGAACAAGGCTGCATTTCCGTATACAATCAAAACTGTTATAGCAGTACGCTGGAAGAAACTTAAGGTTGATCAGAACAAGGATTGACATATATCCATAAATTTTTTTATTTTTCGTTTAATTTACATAATTTTTTCTTGTGAACGCCCTATCATTTTTCTTGAATTCATCGAAACTATGAATGATTACAAAATACAGCGCGCAGGTAACATGTATAAGACCTCATGGCTAGTGAACTTAGGTTATCACTCACTAAAAACACTCAACAACTCTATTCACACTACCAAACTAATACAAGTAGCACTCCTACAATCATACTTGACACTAAAGAATACAGTAATCTTGAATCAATTCCGAGAGGAAAGATTTAAAATTGCAAGTTAACAGGTGCTCTATATCTGATACTTTAACACACAAAACAATATTCCTTTAGTACTATAGGCTGGTCAGACTGAGATATACTGTTTTGTAATCCCTTGCGTATATATATTACTTTCACCGTTATCCTAATAAACATCACGCTCACTTTGAATTCTTTGTGGGTGAACGATTTCGCATTTACAATTATTGTTAGCAAGTTCCTTGAATAAGTTAAGGTAGAAACAGTAGTTATCAACTAGGTAAGTGAATGGTAGATTGAACTTACCTGTTACAAACAAGAATCAGAAGTGTGTGTTAAAAAACTATAGCGTACCAGTAAGGTTATGTTTGCATTCAAAAAAGATCTGCTTGGAAACAGTTTGTCATGATGATATTGCTCTGAGAAACAGTTAATTTTACACGAACTGGTCATTAGTGGGTAACCAATGCAGCTGTTTAGTTTCTAGTGCTTAGTACTGATCGAAGTCTATCGGCCAAGTTTTGTTATGTGACCATTAAGGGAAGTGATGCAACATTGAGTTGGACTGTATTTTGGTTTTAGATGGTTGGAGCCGATCGGTAGAAAATCTGGAAGCTAGGTTTCGTGCTTGTCAGCAATCATCGACAAGACGTTGGAAAATAAGAAAGCTGGTGTTCGGTGGTAATGACCAGCATCACTCATTGCAATGCAGTGTTGCATCACATCGCTTAATACCCCCCTCCACTACAAAACTTCATCGTAGACTCCGACCAGTGTCAATCACCAAGAACTAAACAACTACATCGGTTACATCCAGACAATAAGTTTGCGTACACAATTCAACCCTACGAAGGGTTATTTGTGACCTGGATAGCTTAGTAACTAATTATCTGACTTCATCACTGAGGGAACACCAGTATTCTCATGGTTGCAGATAAGCCTTGCAGATGAGTGCCAACAACCACGAAACCTAGGATCAGGACTCCTGCAGACTGACTCTCATAATCTAACAGCAAGAGTCAATCTCGGCAACTACTGAAGGAAAATGAGTTACAAAAGCTACTTAATAGGAACATATTTTCAATAAAACTGAATTCCCACATTTTGAATTAAAATCATGAAATACAAAAAATTGGCTCACCTTACACTGATACAAAAGTGCGAGGACCCACTGAGAAGCGGCATCAAAAGTGGACTCAGGGGTGGATGAAGGATTTCTAAGAATAACAAAGGCAGTGTTTAACAACGGCTCAATAAGCACATCCTGTTCAACCATTACTCCTGTATTGTCCCACCAACTCGCAAGACAATTGTACACTTTAGCCAAGATCACCATTTGATCTGATTTTACTCTATGGGACTAAAACAAAGGTGCAACCACCATAAAGAAAGTTTAGATATTAGCACTATCCAATTTAAGCAGAGTTTTGTGTTTAGGAACTTTCGGTCGAACTACTTATATTAAAGATGCATGGTATATAAGTTTTTGCAAGCCCTATCTAGAAGATGAAGATTCTGCGAAAAATAAACTTCACTACCCTTGGTTTATATATATATATATATATATATATATATATATATATATATATATATATATATATATATGACGTTGTAATCTGATTAGTATTACCCTAGTTTCGTACGTCTATCGCTCGAGAGCCTGTAACAGACATAAGATTTTGACCAACTGAACCGTTACTATGTAGCCTATAATTACTTCTGCAAAGCTATCATACAATGAGATCCAGTCTGACTAATTACAAAATGTTCATACTGTGTAAAATTACTGTCAAAAACACACCAAACAATAGTATGTTTAGGTATATGGTCTCGTACTCTCAGGTGCATGGATTGACCACTTCTCACTCAAGAATAAGAGGAAGAAGTATTTTGAATTTCTCACAAAGCATATTTCTGAAAGAATTACGAAATAGATCTGATATAATCATTTTCATACCTGATAGGCGATCAAGTGTTGTCATGATGAGTAGATGAGACTATAAGATTAAGACGTTATCCATCCTCAGCGATGAAAGCAAATTTATAGCTCATGTTAGAAAGCTGGAAGCGAAACTAACCTTTAATTTAGTAAAACTTGAATTTGAATAGTGTTAGCAAAGAGGAATTCAGTTTATTGAAGCCTAGAGGGTTTGAATTTCAGAGCTCCTAAGACTCATAAAGATAATAACTTCTTACGTCCTATAATGTATGTTGTTCTCTCACGTATGAACTGGTGAAATGCTTGAAGAAAATGTTAAATCGTAATGAATTCTGTAAGTTTGCATTGAGAGATACTGACAAACTTGCTGTCTTGGTAACATGAATATGAAAAGCAAGACTATGAACTCTTTGATGCAAATTCTTTATTCGTCGATGTGCTCTTCTTCAAGATTATTATCATTATCTGTGATAAAATATCCTTTAACAATCTCCTGTTCCTGATTACTCCAGCTTACCTGAGGGAGGTGTTATTGCTATGTTCCGAAACAGTTTATTGCATATTTGAGTGCGACCACCTTCGACGAGTTGACGGTGTAGCCTTGAGAAATCCCTTAAGACCATTACTGGATAATGTCCATTTGTCACTCATCGAAAATTTAGCTGGTGACCTTATCGCCTAAGTTTAACGTTACAAGAGATATGTCTACGACACCAAACTGAAGAGCACGAGGTTATAGTTTGCTTATTAAGAAGACAACACCGTACAAAATCATAATAGCCTAAAATGTGAGAAAGAATGGCAATCATTAGCTATTCTTGAGTTGAATATTAGATAGCTCAATGAGACGGTTCATTTATAGCAAACCTACATGGACAAAACAATAACCGGATTTTCATTTCTGTTTGGTCATATACAAGCGAGGTCTAATGAAATGCCTATTAGGATCTATCGTATCTGTACATCAGTTATGACGGATGAAGATACCAAATTACTGACCGAAACACTTATAGAAAACGGATGTCCATTGAAGTCCATAAACCGTTGTGAAAGTCAGCTCTGTACTTGGTTCCTAAGAAAAGCGTTCATATTACTCTTCCATACAGGAGTCAAATAGTACGATTTCGAGACGGAGGCTAAGAGCAGCCATTGGTAAAACATCATGCAAATAAGTCACCGTGGAAAAGACAAAAGTTATGCTTTATTACAAACCTAAACACTACATAGGTGACTAAGTCACAACCGATTGTATTTACCAGTTTACATGAGTGTGTGTGTGTGTGTGTGTGTGTGTGTGTGTGTGTGTGTGTGTGTGTGTGTGTGTGTGTGGAAATAAATCTAGGAAAGAGAAATCGAGAGCCTTAAATATAGTATATTTGGCTGAAGAACTGTAAAGCTTAGGCAATGATGTCAGCAATATCCTGGAAACTAACAGTCATAGTGATGTTATAATAAGCTCTGGCTCATTGATCTAGGGTCTCTCAACCTTCAACCAATAGGCCATGCGTTCGAGCCCCACCCACCAACTGGCGTCTGAGCCGCCAGTTAGTGTTATTAGGCCTCAGAGAATAGGCATGGCTCCATGCTCCCTGCGAGCACCTGCGCAAGGTAGCTGAGTTGCAGTCGGATTTTCTAGAATGACAATATGCTCACTGATTTCAGGCTGATATTCATGATGGATTGGCATCAGTTGGAAAAACACTGGGAACTTGGGAGCACTGAACAGCTGTTTCTTCCTAGCATGGGATTCAGAAGTGCGCAACCATGATCCCGTCAGGAGTCGAATCCGAGACCTTGAGGTTCCGCGGCCAGCACGTTACCATTGAGCTACTGGGTGGTCCATATTTCTTACTTGTCACTTTACGATATAGCGCGACCTCCATCAATATGTTCATTCATCCGTAGTTTCAATGTTTCATCCTCACCTACTGACAAAAGTATGACAACAGCGTAGAGTTACAGGTCTACATTCGAAGCTCAACTACTAAGATGTACCGAACTAACATGTGCCAGTACGCTATGAATCCAAAAAGTTCGGTAACCAACAGCAATGCCTTGTTCACTGTTAGGTTCGAGAAGATTGGTGACAGGACAAACTGAGTGTCTTTATGTTTAGAATTTGTGTAGATTAGATACAGATGGCTGTAGGAAATGGGGACTAATATCACTCGCTAGGTTGGGATTCCAAAAATACTCCATGTGTTTTCGTCTGACAGCTTTTTTATTTAAGTATTGAAGTTATCCCCTACGATGAGAACATTAGATTGCTTGACTTTTAGTAGAAGCCTTGATAGTTTTCGGTAAAACATCTCTTAGTTTATCCGGACTGCAGTCAGTTCGTGTAAGCAGACATATTACAAAAAGTTGACGTGCTACTATTCTTCGAATACCTTATTGTCCCCTTATTTGACTAAACTATACACAGACGACTGACTGTTAGAGGATTGAGCTTCCTATTGCCATACGGTTCAAGTCAATACCTACACTTGGAAAAACACGAAAACCAGCTGTTTTCATCTGCACGAAGTATGAAGGTTAGAGATTTATCAAAACGACAAGATGAAGTAGGAGTAATATCAGCTAGTTTCATAGAGTTTTGATAAGCAAGGCTTGTTGACGGATTCGCGTGTGGACAGTAAAGGTCCTGTATATAATTTGGAGCAGTTTCAGGAAAATAGGTATGCTATTTTGTGAACTTGATTATCGTTATCTTCGGCTATAAAGCAGAAAGTCAAAAATGTTGTGGAATTACTAATATAAAAATGTAGAGAGAACACTAGAAGACTGGCGTTATTTAGAAGCAACTTGACTACCGACATTCTTCGATTGATAACTGTGACACTATCAAATATCAGCTATAACTACTTAAATGAACTCTTAACATCTGTTATTCATTAGCGAACACAGAAGACACCATATGTCTACACTGAAAGTTCTATTCCTCGAAATCGAAGGTCTAATATGTGAGGATCACAAAAAGCAGTACTTCAAACTGTTTCTCACATTACGCCTTTGCAAATCCACGACAATGTGCAATCTTTCAAAATCTTAAAAGAATACACCTTAGTTCAGAGCGAATAACCATGTTGTAAGAGGTTCAAATTGAAACATTTAGAATCCGTTATTCTATTTACACTGCATCACGCTATATAATTCTATCGAAGGTAATCCATACAAAAGTTTATCTCAGTAATTCAGGTCACTTTATGTTGGTAAGTGCAATACTAGCAACGACAACCAGAAACTGAGGTCCACCTACTGCTCAGCACATTTTCCCACAGCAAAATAGTTCATTTCAGAACAGCATTTCTCTGCTGCAGTTCTAGTTTTTAACCCTTAGAGGTGACCCGACCCATAGCTGCTACCTTGACGTGGTGGTTGGGCTTTCATTTCACATAATGACCCAAAAAGCTATAGTGATGGAACGCTTGTTCCATTGATGTCCTACTGTACCAAAAGGGTCTGTTGGATAGTGGTAAGATGAAGCAGCAGTTACCTTTGTAGTGTAAACTTAACACACTATGATGGGGTGTGAGGGTGAATTTATGCTGGCTGGATGGGGTGTGACGGTAGTAAGGCGTTTCCTTTAGATGAAAAGTAGTGCCACGTTGATGCCGTCCTCCATATGGGAAGGGCTTGGAAAACGTCAGCCCTGAAACTGGTACACTCCTCCCACCACTAAGGTCTAATGGTGCCGGCGGTATGGATTTTCTCTATCTGGCGTTAGGACAACTAAACCTCAAACCTACCCATAAAACGGTATGTGACAGGAAAAAGCAGATGTCCAATGGGCTCTGCGGTGGCACAAATCTTCCATTTCACGTGTCACAGTGTGGGTAGTCAAGAAGTGTCAGACGCCAGCACGGTTCCAGTAATACACAAGACCCAATCATACATAACCTGTCTTCCACGACCCTGTCTCCTCCTTCGCCTTTACCTTCTGATACTAAGAATCGTGGGACGACTAGGTGATGCTTATTCCTAATCGCCTACGCACCCACTGACTACAGTTTGAATGATGCAAAGGATGAATTTTATGTGAAGCTGTCAATTTTGCGGCGGAAATCGAAACGTTCACATGTAGTCATAATGGCAGGTGATTTTAACGCTAAATTAGGGAAGTTGAGTCAATCGGAAAGGCATCTTGAAGGTACCTATGGAATCTCATGCTAACGAATCGACAAGGTTGTTCGTCTGTTGCGATTTTTTTCTGACAATCGCTTGTTTCTGGCCAGCACTAACTTCAGGCATGAGGAGAGACACTGTCTCACATGGCGTCCGCTGACATCAAATTAACGATGGGCACAGATAAATCAAATTTCTATAAGCCATCGTTGGAGAGGATCAGTGCAGGATTGTCGCCAGTTTGGACTGTGAACACACGGTATTACGGGCTCGTGTATGTCTGCACCTTACTGGTCTCAGGAAACAAGCGATAGTAAACCCTGTCTATGTTCGACTGGAAGATGGAAACGTCAAGTGTGCATTTAAGGAAGAGTTAGTAAAGCATTTATCTCAGCGTGATGGCAGTGCTCATCCTGAGGGAACGTTGCGTGGTATTGAGTCAGCAGTAGAAACAACGGTAAAGACGGTTGTTAACCTACACCTGGAGACTAAAAACCGTCAATGGATTTCCGCTACGTCATCCGAAACCGACTGATGCCACAAGACCAATTTCAGCTGGGTCTGACCGCGATGAAGACGGACAGCAACTTCAAAGGAAGTTGGCCGAGAGACCTTGCGTAGACTGCCAGTGGTGGTGCGTGAAAAGAGAGAGAGAGAAGGCATCAGAGTTGGGTAAAACTCGGCAACTATTTAGACTATTAAGGATACGGGCAAGACTAAAACGACAGTTAGTGAAATTATCACCGGAAAGGATACGACGCTGAGAACCTACCAGGACAGACGACTAAAACGTTGATCGGAACACTTTGAAGCCCAGTCCAACTGGCACACAACCCTTCAGTTACCCAACATCCAGCCTGGACTTGAACGAGACGTAAATGTCGATCATTTAGCTCTCTTTGAAGTTGAAAAGGCCGTATCGAACATGGAAAGATGGAAGGCAGTAGGACATGAGTTTGCCTTCTGAAGTTTTCAAGGATGGAGGTGGAAAATCGCTAACTAAAGTGAAGGAGGTACTAGCTAATTTATGGAAAACAGAGATAGTACTTTCAGACTGATCTACTTCTATGATCACCCCAATTTGTAAGAAGCGAGAGTAGTCTTCCTGTGAGAACTAAAGGGGCATTAAGTTGACTGTGTCGAAGATCCCAGCGTTCACAGTTATCCAACGCTTAACTAAAACTCGAGAACAGCACACTCGAAAAATCCAGACAGGTTTCAGACCTGGACGGGGTTGCATCGATCAAATTTTTACCCTCCGACAGGTTCTGGAACACAGGTATACCTACCAAGGGCTGAAACAGAATACTTCTTGACCAGTGTAGCATTTGTCTCAGTCGACCGTGAGGTGTTGTGGCAGTCTGACTGTGAAGGGAGTACCGAGAAACTATATAGTGCCAACCAAAGCTCTCTACTCAAACTCACACAGTCAAGAGTTGTCATCTGCACTAACTAGCGGTGTTCCCTAGGAATGTTCGCTGTCACCGTTCATATCTAACTTCTCCATAGACGTACTACTGGACATAACCTTGGGTGCTCCTGACTTCATAAGGATTGATCTACTCCCTGGAGGGTGTGTGGTTGACTTGGAGTGTGCAGTAGATGTCCTGCTGGATGAAGACGGTTTCAAAATGCAGGGTCTTCTAAACGCTTTGAGCGGAAATCTGAGTATGTTTGACACGCGTTTAGCTGGCACCTGTCAAAGGGACTAGTCTGCTGCAACCACTCCCAGTTTAATGAAAGGGAGTGGAGTGGTAGATTGTTTTACTATTTCACTTACTCAGGGAGTTGCATCATCTCGAACCAGCTGGTTGCTGATAAAATTTGATCTCGGGTGTAGAGTACCCTTTTGGCATTCGCCAACTTGTGTCATGAGGCGAGATATCACACTTTCTTTACTGCGCTGCAGTTCATGAAGTCTTTGACTGTTGGTATGGGTCATGTGGAGCGATGTAGACTGTCTGCTTGGGGTCCCTGGGACGAAAGGAATCAGTGGTTGAGGACTCTTGGTTATCTAGCTAAAAATCGATCCCTGATATTTTCTGAAGCTTCAGTATTCGCACTAACCTTTGTCTTCAAATTGTTCATTCTCTCACACTTTTTTTATAAACCTGTGGCAACTTAAGCGGAGGAACCTGTGTGGAGTTATACAATGATCTTGTCTGTGTTACACGAGATGGTGGTATCAAACGGGCCTACACTAGAGATGTGATCCAAAACCCTAATAAAAATGGAGACATGATAGCAAGTTGTCAAAATTAAGATTAACTAGACATTCACATACACTACGCGACATCTAATTGAAGTGATACTGTGATAGGCTGTTTGTTACAGCTTTGATCAACATTCCCACGAGCAAATGGGAATGGTTGGGTGTATTGGTCATCGTTCATGAATAGTTTTTACAACGAATACAGCCTAGAGAGTTATTCGATTTAGCAATTAAAATCATAGATTTAACATTTAGGAGTCTGGTCATCCTTAATCACGTTCAGCTTGCTATTGATAAGAGAACTATAAAGTCGTACCCAAGAAGCAACATTTTTTTGTTAATCTGAAAATGAGTGGCAGTACAATCGGTTAATACAAGTTCAAAAACACGGTGCACCTGTAACAACAAAAGGTATTCAGCTTGGTACTAGTATGACCAATTACAGACTTTACCAGAAGTTAAAAATCCACGTCTAAATGCAGAACGTGGCATGCACAACCAAGATTACCGTCAATGGATCTTAGAAAGCCCATACTTCCCACCATGATCAAACAACTTGTAAATCAAACACGGTGCTGATCCGTCGAGTCAATTTAACATCTAATTAAAACTGGACAAGTAGCTTAAATGAGTTTAAGATCATAACAAAATAGCAAACATGAGAAAATTATACGCTTATATCATCAAAACAAATAAGAACTTCACGGGTATTGTATTACTGTTTTCTAGGTTGTTTCTGACAACGTATTTTTCAGTAAGTCGAAATCAAATGAATAGGTACACAAATTACTTTGGACTAACAATTGTAGGATACTAAAGTCGAATTCGAAAACCTTGGTGACAGAAACCAAGGTTTAGCCTAACGAAAAATGGATCATTATTTTGAAAGCGGTTGTGGTCCTAGGAAAGAGTATTCATTCATTTCAAAGCTGGACAACCTTAGCATGACAGCGGAATCAGATATGCCATGTAGGAGAAAGGTTACCAGAAACTAAAATCTGATAACACAGAAATGCCGAGAAAAGATTGAGTTATACGACATACTAGTGTGAAAAAAGAGCTGAACCGACTTTATACCATGAAAAAAAACATGCCAAAGCTGTTGAATACCCACCAAGAACTCCATTACAAAACGTTTGCTTCCTTCGAACTGACTCATAAGTGCATGTCGGCGATTCATTCCCAGTCTAAGAGCACTGCTATTCATCTGCAAGTACATCAGAATAATACATTCCCTACCTCCTCAGGGATAAACTTCAAGATATCGATAAGGTAGCCACAAGAAACGTCTGAACTTGATAACCTGCGAATAGATTTTAAGATTATTTGTGATAAATACTTAGACACAATATCTTTAACCCCATCCTTCCATTGAACCATGTGGCAGAATAAGTCTGCAACAGCCAAACATAGTTGGTTTGCTATCGGTAAGCTCGTATCTTCACTTAGCTTGCAGACGTGTTCCAGTAGGGAATTTTTCAGACCCTGAAACTTGGTCGAAGAGCTTCAGAAGACTTACTTCATGGGAATCTACTGGAAGTTCCGTAAAATGACATTGGATCTTAAACAGTGACTACTTTTATTATTCACTGTACCTTTTTTCTAATGGTTTGTGCCCCAAAGTAACAGCTGTTTAGGTCTCTTTTCATATATAACAACTGGTCTGATATCTGCCAAGCATAAACCTTATAACGTTACGTATTCATAGCAACTGAGCTACCGATTTCTGAAATTCACACAACCATTTTGAGGCCTGCTCCTTAACAGATGTATCCGGATTCATGTACAACGCATCGATAGCAGACAGGACCGATTCAACGGATAAAGTCTGACCGTCAACCATCCTTGCTTTTCTATTTTCAAACTACGCACGGCCTTTATAACGGTACTATGTACCAATACGATTGCCTTCAAATGGTTTAAGTGGTACAAATGGTTCCTCTAATCAACTGGGTAAGTATTTCGCAACAGGAATTTGGAACTGTAAGTTATTTTATCTTCGCCCTGAAAGTATTATATTTATTTCTTGTTATAAAGTTTGTTTATTCTAACAGGCAATATGAATAGGGCGATTGGTTTTTGATTTCTCGCATCTAGTTCACGGAGATTGCTTTTTATTGTTTAGTTCGCTCCTAAAGTGAATAAGGGAATCCTTTCCGCTTTCCTGATGTTGGCCGTGGTGAGATGAGTGTTTTTGTGGGTTATTATTAAGGACTTATAGCTTGATTTGGTAAGGAAGCTTTGAGTTGTTGGGACTTTTAGGGGGTCTTTCGTGACTCTTGTCTTTATTTGTGTCTGAAGAGGATTCAGAAAATATTGTATGCGCAAAAAACAATAAGTGGTGGGCGGCAAATGGGAAGAAATTCCAATGGGCTACTGAGGCCTATATTGTCCTGAACATGTCGATTTTAAGTCGCACTAATTGAAGTAGCTGTCTGACTCCATTCTGAATGAGTCTGCTGACGGGGCTGCAGCTACATTCTGCGGTGAAGCGCTTTTTGGTGCACATTCTGTTGAGGAGAAATAGTTTTGAGCTTAGCCTCATGCTAGATTACTGATGTGCCTTTCTGGCGGAGTTTCCTCACAGTGACCGCCCTGCTGCAGGTAAGGTTATTTTCTTCGCGTGACCGATCCGGTGGGCGATCTTGTAGGCCGTATTAAAACTTCCCGCTTTTTGTGATACCCCAATTTCCTAGTATGTCTTCCTCATCGGTCTGATAACTGGTTTGCTTTCAAGTCTTAGTGTTTTCCGAAGAAGAATGCAGCCGCTTCCAAGTCTCGAGGGGTGCCTTCAGGCTGAAGACTCTCAGACGCTGGTGTATTTATGGGTTGAAAACCGCTAGAAACAGTTCAGGAAGGGGAGCCCTGTCCACGCCAAAAATGCAAAGTTCGTCCGCTGTGGCTGTCATTAGAGCTACTGCTCGGCTTTTCATGGGACCTAGGCCTTTAACCTTTCGCCGTGGATGATGCGATAACGGCACAGTCACTCAGCCTCTGTTTGTATTCCATTGTTTTTGTCTCGTAAGCGCCAATGTGCATTGCTTTTCACTCTTCCAGGTTGGAACGCTAGCCGTTTTCTGATGGCCTGAGTTGAAGTTGCTGCATGGCGTCTTTTAGTGCTTTACAGCCATCCTCTTTGGTCACCACTCTTTAGATTCTGACATCATCAGCAAAAAGAAAAATGAGCTAGGAAATTCGCATGAGATCGCTGGTGAACAGCAGGAACAAAAGTAGCCCCACGATTGCTTGCTGGGATCCCTCCCCGTTGACCGTCTCCACTAGAACCATGTTCTGTTCACTCCAACGCAGAACTGCTTACTACCCAGATGCACCTCTAACCAAGAGAGCAGAAGCTTGCACATCCCTTCTAATGCGATCTTATGGAGCAGTATTTCCAGCGGGGCATTCTCAAGTGCCTTTGCTAAGTCACGAAAAATGACACGTAGTGGTTCTCTGTTGTTCCAGCCGAAGGTCCAATCACCCTATGCAGTCGGCAGGTTGAAGACCCACGAGCGACAACTTCGAAAACCGCTCCTAGCAGTCTGAATGGTGGTGTTCTTTTCAAGGTGTTCCCAGACGTCATCTACAATAAGGCTTTCCCATTTCACGGACATTGCAGGGAGTATGGCCTCAGTACTTCTGTCTCTTCCCTTGTAGGTGGGAGAAAAGATGGCGCATTTGCACTCTGAAGGGTTTGCCTGACTCTGGAAGGTGTTTGGAGTTACCATAGACTGACTTTCTGAGTGCTTGGGACCAGTCATTCAGAGATGTTCCTGGGTGGTTGCAGACAAAGCACTTGCCAGGAAGCCACGTGGATAGACTCCCGGTGCTTTTTTGCTTGATTCCGATGCGGCTAAGGTGTTCGCTGTATGCACTCTGACAACTGTTGCTTTGAACAGGCGCGGATTTCGTATCAGCGACCCTAAGTCGTACTAAAAACACAAGAACTTAAGCTCAGCCAGTCTTGGGCTGCCTAGTACAATGTAATTAGGGCCTGTAACGGAAATTTGATTGAAAATCCCTCCCCATCACCCTATTTGATTGTATTGACATTTATCTCAATATTTTCCCCTCGTTATGGGTGGTACACCTCTGACCCTAGCCGGTGTAATGTTATTTGGTTGTTCAACTGTCTCATTTGACCTTTTACCTAGTATTTGCCTTTGTATGACTAAGACTTATAATGAATGCTTCACTTCCCTATTATGTGACGCTGGACTGTTGACAAAGTGATGTTGTTTTACGGCGCCCGACATTTTTGTTCTGGTTCGACTTACGTTTGTGCTGTGATTTGACTTTTTATCTTTTGACTGTCCACTGGGAACGTTTGTTTGTTGATTTGATTCCTTTAGGCAGAGTTTTGATCCCTTTCGTCGGGAATATTCCTATTGACCAACAGGTACTTAACAGTTGTATTTGTTTAACCAGTTTTTACCGTGTAGTACGTAGTTGTACCCGAGAACGTTTTGGACTGTATAGTTGCCCAACGGCACTGTGGAGGTATTTCGCAATTTCGGCGTAACTTATTGTTGCTTTGATAGTACCACAGATTTCGTTACGAATCTACTATTGAATTACTACAAACTGTGTTTTGATATTTTGATCCAGCCTTTGACTGTGCGTCACATGCGGAAGTTAGGAAGCTATACAGTAGAACGCGAGAACTAGTCAGGTTCGCGTAAGTTGGCACCGCCTAGTTATTTGCCTCGTTCAGGCCAAGATTATTGGATTCTGGCTGCTACAGGGCCTGCCATCAGATTAATTTCTTTGTTAGCTAACTTCCCATCGACATGAAACGATACAGGCTTTTGGGTTGCTTCGTAACCTCCTTGCCAGGTTTATTCGACACATAAGCCATCACCAAGGAATCCAAATAGTAACAACATTTATGGATCAGAAGCAAGCAGTTTTTACGGACAAGACCAGACAAATGCCACGCACAGTCGTCAATATATACTGACCGTTTCAACGAAATAAGATATAGCGAAGCTTTGCAGGTGTGTAGATGAAAGAAAGCCCTAAAAGCTATGCAATAGAGTTAAACGAAAAAACTTTCGGCAAGGATCCGTCACCATGGAATACATCAGCATCATATTATACTAAGTTTGTATATTCAACAGTTTGACGCACTCAGCTTAAGTCTTGCATTACAGAAGGGTGAATTTTGGCGTAAGACAGTAGTCGTTAAAAACATGCATAAAGGCTACAGAGTACTCCGAAATAAATACTCGAAAACATCTTGTAAGTACGGTTTTAAATGCACGGAAAATTCATCATGCCTCCCTCCCCTGGCAAGTATACCACTGTGGTATCAAACAGCTGTGTCCTCGCATGTCGCCCAAAGTTAAGGAAAACGATAAGATTGTTGGTGTTTTGGTGTGAAGTGGGACTTCGATAACAGACGACATTCTCCACTTCCTGGTTTATCAGCTTCAAGGTATGAGGAAAGTAAGGCGGTCGCTATGCCTGGGTAATGGCCAGAAGTGCCATGTTGATTTGCCAGATGAAAGAGGGGCAAACCGAGAAATAATGTTGTGGTATTTTAAACAACAAACAGTAAAGCCGGGTACGAGCACGTGTATTTTAGGATAAACCTCATATTTAACCCATAAAAAAGTGGGAGAGAAGTGTGCATCGCATAGAAGAGTACCACCCGTTACTCTTTGCTGAGAGGAAGCTCATTTCGCTAAACAGCATCGACTGTTGGGCAGTTATTTCTCTTTGTCACTTCTTTATGGATAAGTCTTGGGAATTTTCCCGGAAATATTCCCATTGTGAGCCCGTATCTAAGGTTACTCAGATACCATAGAAATCAGGCAATGCTATCTAAAACACATAAGGTTGGAGCTCATGTTCCTACCACAAGATCCGCTTAGCAGCATTCACCACCGTCACTTTAAGATAAAATGCTAGGCCATTATAAGTTACCTTTAGAATATTTTTTGTAACGGTTTAACTGAATAAAGCGGGTGCTTATTTTTCTTCCTTAAACATCCTTTTTGTATGTCTCTGGCCTCCACTCCAAATGTAGTTTCCCAGAGTATAGTCAGCCACTTTGAGTTGACTCACCGCGTCTGTGACAGCTGGCGGATTTGGTTGTCGGAGTACGTGTAGCGCCATAATGAAACACTTTCTTTGAGTAGAGAGGGGAGAAGAATGGGTTATGGATGCAGACTGGAGCTTTTACATACACATGTATATGTCAGCAGAAGGAATGGAACCTGATATGGGGATGATAAACATAGTTTACTTGTGTCATTGATTCTAGGACAAAGGAGGCAAGATTAGACTGTAATAAGTGGGAGCTGCCAAAAGCTGAGGCCGTGAACTCACCAAGTGTGCAAGTTGACACCTTATTTCCGTATGAGCCGGTGGAGGTACGCTATAGCGGAATTTTTACGCGTAGACGTTTACAGGAATGGGTTGTGACCCGAGGATTATTTTTGGTGTACCTGAGTTAAGTGCTCGTTTGTTGTGTTGTAGTTCCAGTCTTCAGGCCATGGTTAATTCCTTAGGTAGTCCGTGACGGTCTTGCAGTTAGTCCTGCCATGTCAAGGATAGTTTTTCAGTATCTCCGGTTGCAGTGCCATTTTAGTTATCATAGGAGTTAATACTGCATGATCACCGAGGCCAAGAGCGGCTTTCAACATGTGTTCGTCATGAAGTCATCGTTCATTAAAACGTGGACTGAGCGTGATGCATTGCCGCTGAGCTCCCCCCCACATATGGTACCACACACCTCTGCTAGGTTGACTATTTTGGTTCCACCCCTCGGCTTCTCACCAAGGAATCCTTTTGGGTGCCCTCCTAAGTGTTGCAGTCGCCGGCCATGATTATACAGTA